ACTCCATACAGTCCATTTTCTTCTTACGCAGGGTGCTAGCGTTCATGCAAAGTGAGCAGTTACGACTAAATTGAGCGGTCGAACTCAGCGATTCATTATCTTTTCATTGAACACATGCAAATCTTGCCATTCAAACCAGATCACGTCATCGTACAAATTCTCAAAAAACTTATGATTCTCAAAATTTCCTCACTGAAGAAATTAATACAAATTTATTTTCTTTTTGGCTGTCGAAATTGAGTTTTTTGCGTGAACTGCATCTAGTGTTATAAGGATCTTCAATTTTATCGTGATACCTTCTGAATGTAAATGTGAGATCGCTTCTGAGGTGATGAATTGATCAGATGAATGAATATTCTATTATATACCTCATATACCTCACAAAAGTATTTTCCAAAATTTCTCTAGAGATCAGTGGGACGAAACACCCTTAATGTGTGCTATTCGAAGCAAGAGCATCGATTGCATTCGAGCATTACGTAACGCTGGCGCACATCTCACGTGGAAATCCGTTGATTTGGGTAATTGTCGCAGTCTTTCTTCATGCTCTCTTGATTTCTTCATTTTTCGGTGATTTACGAAATCTTCTAAGTCGACCAAATTTCAGATCAAACTTTCGAATCCATCAATGTCCACCCTTTGAAACTGAAAATTTAAGATCATGGCATGCTTCAATCGTATATCTTTAACTTGAAAGCTATGAGAGAAACTCCAGTGAAGGTAGCTGACGCCAACTTCCAAAGAGATTCACTATAGTTGCTAAGCACGACATGTTTTATTCAGGAATTGAAATGTGCTTGGCTTCAAGTAGTGAAGATTTGAAAACGCTGTCCGCATGGGTGGCGGCTGGTGTTGATCCAAATCAAGCCGATTATGACGGACGAACTGCACTGCATATTGTAAGCGTTCTCTGTCTGCATAGGAATGTGTTGTTGCGATTTTCAGCGATTACTGCCAAAGTCTAATTGCACAGGCTTGAGTCATGTTTGTACGGAGTGGAATCAAAGCAAGGAATGATGAATTGAAAAACCTTTCAGGCAGTTGAGAACGGTAGTAAGGAAATCGTTGAATATCTCTTGAAGAACGGAGCTAATCCAGAAGCAGCCGATAAATTTGGTAACACACCAATGAGCAGGGCAATAGCTCAAGATGATGCGGAAGTTATGCAAATGCTCAGAACATTGCATGGTCCCTCACCGTTACCGTCCATATTGTTCGCCTTCAACGATTCGCAGAGGTCATCTCCTTCGCTTTGAGTTGATTGTATATAGTACTGTATATGTTGCTTTTTGAATGCATTTCGTTGAAAGGTTGTTCTTGATTTTACACATTCTCCGGTGTTGGAGTCCGCTCTACGATTTCAAAATGCCAATGGACGCTTGTCGATTTGTCATCCAGCCATAACGAGGTGAACTGTGTTGGAGCAATAAAATTATATTTTTCGATTGTCTAGTTTGTGCAATGAAATTTCTCAGTTTAGAAATTGATTTGTTACAATCTGTGTTATCATGATTTCCATGCATTTCTCGGCACAATCCTATTGGGTTACCGATTATCGTTGCGTCGCCTTGATCATTTTCCTATTGTAGCATTTATGTGCTAACATTTCTGTGCTCATTTTGTATTTTTCTGATGTTGTTCAGTTGCTCTCTTGGAGGAGTTAATATTTTTATCAATTTATTGCTCTGCTCGTCGTCAGTTCAATATTGTGTGATAATGATAACGTCTCTTTGATGAGCTTGATTGAATGCAAAATAAAATATGTGCATTTGAACATGAAGGTTGCTATCAACAGATCGCATTTAAAAAGTAACTGAGATAATGACTGAACGATCGCGATATTCCACACAAAAAAATATTCTAACCAATTCATAAAATGATTCGAAACCTTGCTCAAATATACAACGGAGGTCCAACGTATTATCTGCTGTCATCAGCAAATTACTTATCGTTTTCAACAGTTATTCATGCACCAACACACTTCCGTTCTACTTTCAGTCACGCTAACGATAACAATTTTGTCGCAAAATTATTCCGGCCATTTCATTCCTCCATCAGCTCTCAACTTATTTCTGGAGCAGTCGCATTCCTAATTTTGAGTGTCCCCTAACCGTAGCAGTGATTTCTTCAAACAGCATATCGACTGTTTAGAATGTCCAATAATAAACCAGAAACATTCCCGAGTGAATAGATACCGAAAATTTAATCGTAATCTGTTAGTGGGCACTATGACACATCGTCATTGTATCATAATTTTTGGACAATGGCCATCCCGAAGGTCACCTTAGGCTGGCAACGATGTTTGGACTCAGCTGTAAGATGTTCTCTGTAATTTCGGTTGAGGCTTATCACAACAATCAGGATGAGTCTTCCATCAGCAGAGTGATGGCTCTTTCGTTGCTCCTGATGAACACAACATTGCTCATCGTTGTTTCGAACAGATTTTGGTCCCCAGTGGAGAGAAATATTGCATCTTCGAGATCTCTGAATCCGATATTCGTTTACATACACAAATCAAAAGCGATCTTCCTCGTGTTCGATTTGATCTCAGCGATTACCGACGACAAAGCACCAAATGTAAATCAAAACGACCCTCTGATCCTACAATAATTTTCAAACAATTTGAGCGATTTACACAGTGACTACATTGCATAAAGTACAGCAAGCAGCACTTGCATGAATTTATCGTTTATCTCTTTCTTCACGCAACATAAAGGAATGCTAAAGTCTTGAAACGAAATCACAAGGCGAAACAGTTGTTTGGTATATTGTAAGCGGCAGGCTATGAATGGTTACCAGGTTTTTTCTACGGCTGATCAGCAATCGAGGAGTGCACCAAAGATGAACTGATCCTATGCTTATCAGTAATAAGTTATCATTTTAATCACACGCATAAAATTCAGTCGTTCTTATCAAAAGATTTAATTTTCGATGTTCTTTAATGCACAAGTGCCTAAAGCACGACTTTCAAAGTATCGCCTAACCCTTTTTTTTGAAGAAAAATTTCAGAGTATCTTACAGTTCTTTCATTTTTGAAAATTTCAATCTGCTTAATGCTATTGCTGCTGTCACAGCGTGCAAACATTTTGATTGTTTCATCATTACTTGAACGATTAATAAGAGCATTTCAATATTTACATTGGAATTATGAATGAAAATTTCCATTGCTGCCAATACTGGATTATGCATTCTGTGTGTGTGCATTGGAATAGCGATTGAGAACATCCTTGATCGTTATGCGTTGCTTCAAGATCGGTATTTAAAGGCTGAAATGATGTGAGACGGAGCCAAAAATCACCATTCCATTTATCAACAACAATCGCTTGGTTGACTCCAAAATTGCCCCCTCCTACTAAATGACGCT